GCGTCCACTAGTCTAGATAGGACCAGGTCCTCAGCACAGTTACAATAACAGAAAATAAACAAAGTACTAAAAGTAAAGATTGCACACACAACTTTACGTGGAAACCTCCTTGCTCAAGGGAGTAAAACCACGACCTATTCTCAACTGGACTTTTCAAACTGTCTCCACTAATCTTCTCCAAGCAAAAGTAAAAGTCAGTTTACAAAATGAGATTAGCCTGCTAATCTCCACACTAAGCAATACCTCATATCACTTAGCTGAGCCAGATCAGATACAACATTGCCCACTATACTAATCTTAACTGATTAATATAGACTTTAGAGTAAGAAACTAAGTTACCCTTAACCTAGTTCTTACAATGATTCACACAAGATTGAAACGTTTCTTTCACAAGTGAAATGAATCCTACAATATAAGCACGATTACAAGCAAACAAAGTAACAGCTGGTACAGGAAGCAAATGAAGCACTCTATCAGGTCCCTACTTTTTTTGAAGCTTGAAATGACTCTCTTTGAATGAATGATCTTTTTGTTGTTTGTAAGTTGAATATATTGGACAAGAAGAATTATTATCCAATGTACAAACACCCTCGTCGCTTCTAATTAGTGAAGTACTCTGCAACTTCACCAACTTTCTGACGCGGACAACTTTTACAGTTGTTCAGCACTTTGACCACTGGATGAGTATTCATACTCTGCAGAGGACCCTCCCTGCACTTATGAAAAGACCATCAAAATATCTAGGAGTGTTAGCACTTATCATTACCTATAGACTACAAACTTGTCACTATGTTGTTACTGAAATACAATGAAGAACTGAAGTCATTTTTCCCCTTCTAATTTTTCTTTGTTAGCACTTTTTATACTTTATATGAAGTTTTTGGGGGTTCTAATATTGCAGCTCCTACGTTTTGTCAAGGTCTCACAGTTGCCTCAGCAACTGAATAAATTAAAGCTCTTGTAGAAAGGAACTAACTCGGAAGAAAAGAAGTCATCAGTAACTCAATAAATTAAAGTCCTTGCCGAAAGAAAGTAACTCAGAAGAGCAGAAGTCATCGAACATGATGGAGTTAAAGGCAAATCCGAGAACATTTTCCAGCACAGAGAATTCACAAAAGAAAAATCAGACGATGTAGGGAGTTAAGCTCCTCGACGTCGACATGTATGCTTCATTATAGGGGCAATTCGGACAATTCACTTCAGCCTTGGTGGACTCTACACACGTACCTCCTTTTTTGCCACGTAGAAAATCACTGTCTCCCTTTCCTAGCATTTCATTAGTACTCCTCCAATTTTATCCAACAAAAAATCACAGCTTCCTCAATTGCTTCTGCTCCTGCTCACTGAAGTTTTCCACTTTGCTTATGCTCGCTGCCTCTTCTTCGATTCAGGTGAATATCTTCGTAATCGAATAACCCAAGTTCTGGAAAAATGTTAGAATTTGGCTTCTTTATACCTTTACTCAGCAGCGATTTCTGATTGTCATTCGTTTTCGGGATTTTGCTATAACCCAAGCTCTATGTTATATTTCATAGCTTCATTTTGGTTATTCTGATTGTCTTTGAATTTTGTTATTTAAATTGGTCTGGTTCCTTAAGTTTTCTCAGGTTTTCTGCCTTCATATTCCTAATTAATTACGTAACCCTAAATTTGAAACTCTTAGGGATTGTAGTTGTGGCAAAAATTGCATTCTTAATAAATAGATAGGCAGTGAGTTCATGACAATCGAAAAGTCAGGCAAAAACTGAATATATACCAATAAACTGCTTAGCGTACAAATGAACCTTCATCAGTACTGGCCTTTGCTTAATTTCTCCTCCCTTATTTGTTAGTTTAGCTAAAAGTAAGTATTATAGAGGTAGATTAAATATTTAAAGTTTATGAATCGCTATAACAATCCCAAGTTAGTTAATATGTACTAACAAAGTTCGCTTTACAACTTAACTTTTACAATTAAATTGTATTCAAAGTAGAACCGTGTTATGTTACAACAATATTCAGGGTATAGAATAATATTATTTACTACTGTATTCAAAGTATAGAACTATAGTGTGTATAATTGTATTCAGAGTAGCAGTACTCTGATCAAAGTATAAAATTTATAGAAAGAAATATGAATGCTTATTTTACGAAAAGGTTTCTACGTGCGCAGTTTCAAACTAAAAAGTATGTTCAATCTTTTCGCAATTTGTTGGTGATAGCAAGGTTTGTTTAGTTTTACTCGAGAGAGATAGTATGCGCTTGTTTAATAAAGTTGAAGAACATGTTCTGTTGCTCTACTCTATTCAATAATATTATCTTGAAAGATTTAAAAAATGGATGTTAAAATTTGGCTTCTTTATACCTTTACTCAGTCGTGATTTTTTATTTTTCTGCGTTTTTGGAGTTACGTATATAGGCGGTTGGCAATTTTTCCTTCTCAGGAGAACCCGGCTACTTCAAAAAATCTAACCCAGCATTTTTGGGCATTGATATAGTAAAAAATAGAATGGTCAAATTTCACTTCTTTATGCCTCTACTCAGTTGCAATTTACTGATTGTTTTTCGTTTGCTGGATTTTCTGTATTTTTGTTGCTTGTGACTTCGGTGTTCGTATTTCTCCCTAATTCTACACTTAGTAGTTATTTGAAAAAAAATATTTCTCCTTCAATGCTTCTCCTATGGTTAAAAAGGCTTTGGTTTTGAAATATCAGCCTAAGTCTTGTCACTGCTTCTCCTATGCAGCTATGCTTAAAAAAGCTTTGATGTTGAAATATCAGCCTAAGTCTTGTGCTGTAATGATAGCTTTTCCTTTTCAGTTTAACTCTACTTTGTAAGAATTGAATAAGTTGAAATATTTAATATTGTTATCTTGAAAGGTAAAGGCTTACTACCTCTTTAGTTAGTTCTTGACTACAACTTACATTAAGGGTGTCGAATAGACGGGTTGAGCTGAAATTATGTTAGCTGAATGAGATAAATGAACAAACGAGCATGTTGTAACCTGAAAATTTCATCTTAGCACATTAGTACTAGCTAACATCAAATAGGCACAACACAACACCGAATGAACACAACACACAAAAGATATTTCCAGTAAAACATGAGAATATGCAGCAACTGAAAATAACCAAATTAGACCAGATTAAACTAGCTTTCAATTGAGCATTTTCATTCATGCATACATGTTTTGTCTGTGGTGTGTGAAATTTCTTGGCTTCCTGTATGCAGATGACACGTTCAGAGCAAAAGAAAAAACGTCCATGTTTGTCGAATACAAACGTTGAAATGAAATTCAATCGACGCAAAAAATATAAAGAAATGTTGCCAGCTCAAAAAGAGACATTACTATTACAAAGGCATACAAGAGTCCTCTAGTCAACAAGACGTATTCTACAAGTTTCTGCCTTCAATAACTCTGTCAAGTCATTATCTTCCACATCTAAGTCACCGTTTACGTCAACAGAAGGTTAGCAAGTCAAATTTATGCTCTTTACATACATGTATGTTTCTGAATGCATATGTTGTTTATATACATGCATGATCTGCTTTGACGCATTTCATATTTATTTATTAGCTGCTACATCTGAAGCTCATTCTTTAGCTGACACTTCTCCAAAAGGGAAAAGTTTGTTTCACCCATCTTCTGTCTTTGAAACAGGCGAGTATAACAATTATATTCTTTTTGTTAGCTTCCAGATTCCATAAGACATTTGCTGCTCTAATTCATAACTACTTTTATAATTAGGATCCACATCAGCCACATCTCCTGACCCCTGTACTGTTACCTCGGCCCCTGTTTCAAATACACATTTGTCTTAATTTCAACATAGAATAGTATTCGCATTTCCCTTACATAGAATAGTATTTACTATTTTCCTTTCACCTCTAACCACTTCTGTGATATTTAGGAACTAGGCCCAACAGACATCCTCACATAAATGTTAATGAATCTCAATCTAAGTATACACCTCTCAAAGTTGTCCCAAATTATAAATTTTGCGGTGCAAAATGATTTCAGTATGAATCGCCTGGATTTTGTTGCGATAACAGCTCAATTAAGCTTACATCACACAAAATGCCTATAGAACTACAAGATTTATTTTTAAATTCTTCCAAAGAGTCTCAACATTTTCGAACATATGTTAGGACATACAATAATATGTTCGCTTTTACTTCACTTGGGGTAAACTATGACAAAGAGTTAGCTAAGAGATATCATGGTATTTATACCTTTAGAGTTCAAGGGAAAATGTACCACTTTATTGATGATTTGTGCCCTGCAGCAACTGGAAAGGGAAAAAACTTACAACTATACTTCTATGACAATGAAAATGAGGTGGCAAATAGAATTGCTTGTACCACTAGAATTCAGGACACTATGATAATAAAATTGATGAATATACTACAAATTAATCCATACTCTTTCTTCATAAAATCTCTAACTGATGTACCAGAACTATCACAATTTTATATTGCACTGAAATGTGATTCGGGTTTAGATCAATGAGTATATAACCTACCTACTACATCAGAAGTTTCAGCAATATGGGTTGACGAAGGAGTACATACTATATTGAAACCTCCTATTTGAATTATCCTCACAATAATAAAAGTCAAATAGTTAATTACTACTATATATGGATGGTAATACCCCTTACAATATCCACTGTTATTTCCATATGGTCAAGATGGGTGGCATTGTGGTATTAAGAAAATACTACAGTGAAAGAATACAACCAGCTGTCATGTCTCCTGTGAACGGAAATACTTACCAAGTGTTAAAAACATGTGCACAATAGATAACTTTCTTGATATGGAAGCTGAAGTGCTCGAACAACAAAAGAAAAAAAAATGTCTCTTGCCATGAATATTATTGCTACAAAATTTAAATGCAAGATGATGAAAATGATGAACTCTTACATACTGGAAGAATTTTCCAACAATATATCGTTGATGTATTCATAAATCTTGAAACACAAAGACTAGATTTCTTTTTCTTCAATCCAGACTTATTTCGAATGGAAGTTTTCCAAGGTCTTCTGGATGTCTTGAGACATGGTGAAAGAGATGCTACTAAAATTGGAAAACAAACATTTCTTCCTGCCACATTTACTGGAGGACCAAGAGATATGCGTCAGCGATATCTTGATGCTATCGCTTTGGTGCAACATTTCGAAAAACTTGATTTATTTCTAACAATGACTTGTAATCCAATGTGGCCTAAAATAAAAGAACATTTACCTACTGATGAGGCACAAAATGGAGCTGATTTGATTAGTAGAATATTTCGAAGGAAAGTTGAAGAACTAAAAACTGATATACTAAAAAGAAATATCTTCGAAAAGGTTGTTGCATTTATGAACAATATAGAATTCCAAAAACGTGGTCTCCCACATGCACATTTCCTTATTATTCTTTGTAATGAATATAAATTGTTGACACCTGAGTCATACGACATAATTATTTGTGCTGAATTACCTGATTCTAATAAAGAGGCTCACTTACATTCAGTTGTTGTGCATCATATGATGCATGGCCCTTGTGGTCATTTGAATCCTATAAATCCATGTATGAAAAGTAAAGGCTAATGTAAATTTAAATATCCTAAAGATTTCGATGAACGAACATCCAAAGGAAAAAACTCATATCCCATTTACAAAAGACAGCACACAGGAGAACTTATAAAAGTTAGAGGGAAATATCTTGATAACTCGTGGGTCGTACCATACAATCCATTTTTACTTGCCAAGTTTAACTGTCATATGAATGTCGAAATATGTTTTGACATTAAAGTTGTGAAGTACCTATACAAATATATTTGCAAAGGACACGATAAAATAGCTTTTTCTCTATATGAGAACGATAAACAAACAGAGGTTGATGAAATAAAAGAATATCAATCTGCTCGATGGGTCTCTCCGCCTGAAGCTACATGGCGCTTATTTGGTTTTCCTATCAGTGAGATGACGCCGAGTGTTTACCATCTTCAGTTACATCTTCAAGGACAACAATATGTTTCTTTTGAAAGCACTGAAAGTGTAAATACAATTATGAGAAATCCAATGATTAGAAAAACAATGTTAACTGAATTCTTTGTTATGAACCAAACAAATGAGGATGTTCAACAACTTAATCTATTATACAAAGAGTTTCCTCAATACTTTGTATGGTCAATTTCATAAACAATGTGGACACGTCGAAAACAATGTACAATTATTGGACGTGTTGTGACATGCCATCCAACAGAAGGCGAGAGATATTATCTTAGATTGTTACTTATGAATGTGAGGGCTCCAAAATCATATGAAGATCTTCGTATGGTCAATGGAACATATTGTACTACATTTAGGGAATCTGCTGAAAAAAGAGGATTACTACATTCTGATAACAGCTTAGTTGACTATATGATTGAAACTGTAAGTTATCAATTACCATATAGTTTAAAACGATTATTCGCTACATTATTAGTTTACTGTAATCCTACTAACCCAAAAGAGTTATGGGAACAATTTGAAGAGTCTATGTCTGAAGATTTTAAAAACTCCAAAAGTGTTGAACTGCGAGATGTTTGACACAAAGTTTTGAAGCATTTTTTTTTTGGTAAACGAAACATTTTATTTCAAAACTAAAGTGAATCATTACAACATTAAATACGTGCAGACCACCTATTTCTCAAATCTGCTATCTCCAAAAGTATTGAATTGAGAGATGTTCAACATAGAGTTTTAAACCATATTAATGATGAGCTACACTCAATGGGACATGATATAAATGAATATAAGATTGTTCCAGAGAATATTCAACCTTCCGCAATTGAAAAAGAGGTAAAAGATGTTCATTTTGAGATATAAGGGTTTTCGAAGAGGATTTGTTATTGGAGAAAAAACTAAATAGAGAACAACGAAAGCTTATACTGTAATTGTTGATAGAATATTTCTAATAAAGCAGGAGCATTTTTTATTGATGGGCCAGGAGGAAGTGGCAAAAGTTTCTTCTACCGAAGTTTATTAGCAACAATAACATCTAAAGGATTTGTGGCATTAGCAACTGCAAGTTCTGGTGTCGCAGCTTCTATTCTTCCTGGAGGACGAACTACTCACTCACACTTTAAGTTTCCTATTAATGTTGATGAAAATATTGGTTGCAATGTCAGCAAGCAAAGCTCACTTGCATGTTTAATTCGGGATGCAAAACTAATTGTCGGGGATGAAGCATCAATGGCTAAAGCAAAAACTATTGAAGCTTTTGATTTACTATTAAAAGATCTGATGGATACGAGAATGCTTTTTGGTGGAAAAGTGATCATTTTAGGAGGTGATTTTAGACAAACCCTTCCCGATGTTCGAAATGGAAAAAAGGAAGACTTCATTTCTCAAAGTTTATTATACTCAAAAATCTGGAACCAACTTGAAAAATTACACCTATCAGAGAATATGAGAGCAAGAACAGATCCTGCTTTTTCAGAGTACTTGATGAGAATTGGTGACGGAAAAGAAAAACTTAACTCCCAGGATAAAGTTGAAATTCCCAGTTCTTTACTCATTCCTTTTAATATTGAAGAACAATCCTTAGAAGAGTTATTTAACGTAACATACCCTATTATAGATTCATTGTTTCATGATTCTTCCTCCTTATCTTCTCATGTGATTTGGACAACCAAAAATGATTATGTTCATGAAATAAATGATATGCTATTATCTAAATTTCCAAATATTGCAAGATCATTCATTGCAATCGATGAAACTATTGAACCAAATGATCAAAGTCAGTTTGAAGATTATCTCCATTCTTTAAATCCTGCTAATTTTCCACCTTACAAATTGACTTTAAAAGAAAATTTCCCAGTGATGTTACTATGAAATTTAATCCTTCTGAAGGTTTGTGTAACAATACACGATTAACATGTTGTAACTTTAAAACACATGTTATAAGTGCAAAAAATGCTAGCGGTGACTTTCAGAAAAAACATGTTTTTATTCCAAGAATACCTTTACTAGCTTCAGAAGATGAAAATTTGTCAATTCCTTTCAAAAGAACACAATTTCCAATACGATTATGTTTTGCTATGACTATAAATAAAGCTCAAGGTCAAACTTTGGATTTTGTTGGAATTTATTTGCGCGAGCCTGTATTTTCCCATGGTCAACTTTATGTTGATTTATCGAGAGCTAAAACTTCAAACGGTGTGAAGCTACTAGTTCGACCATTGACCTCTGACAGCAACGATGATCACTCAACATACAACATAGTCTATGATGAAATTATTCAAAAAGCGTTCACTTAGCTAACAACGGGTAAGAATTTGTATGCTTAGCTTCTTGTAAAAAATAGTTGACTTACTCTTCTATAGTTCTATTTTAAAATGTCACTTAAAGCTTTCCTATATAGTAACCGTTCAGATTTCTACAATTTGGTCTATGAATCAACAAATGTTCCTCACAACCACTTCACAGAAACATCAACAAAACAACTAAAAGCTTCCATATTCAGGTAACTTTGTTGCATTAACAAGTAAATGTATGCCTTTGTTATGAGAAGTACAAATCTTATTACATGATTATACCCAGTTTACTGAATTGTTGTGTTCAAATTACATTAAAAATGAAGCGAATCTCTAAAAAAAATGAAGTGAATCTCTAAAAAAATGATTTAAGCACAAAATGAATATGTTGTTTTTCCTTGGAAATAAATAGAGGCTTTCCAAAACCATCAACGTAAAGAAACACAGATTCAACACGTACGTCGCCGTAGATGGGAGCAAAACAACACGCGGCAGCTCAAAGAAGAAAGACAAAGGAAGATTATGAATTTACCCTTTTTGGATCATATCCTTTAGAGAAAATGACACGGTTGCCCCTGAATGTTTGTAACTAGAAAAGATCTCTTATGGTGAAATGACGGGTTTACCCTTGAATGGCTGAAAAAACTCGCTCTTAATTAAGAATGAAGCGAATCTTTAAAAAAATGATTTAAGCACAAAATGAATATGTTGTTTTTCCTTGGAAATAAACAGAGGCTTTCCAAAACCATCAACGTAAAGAAACACATATTCAACACGTACGTCGCCGTAGATGGGAGCAAAAAACACGTAGCAGTTCAGGGAAGAAAGACAAAGGGAGAATATGAATTCACCCTTTTTGGATGATATCCTTTAGAGAAAATGGCACGATTGCCCTTGAATGTTTGTAACTGGAAAAGATCTCTTCTGGTGAAATGACGGGTTCGCCCTTGAATGGCTGAAAAAACTCGCTCTTATTAAGAATGATGATGTAATGTAGGTGGACTAAAAAGTTTGAGTGGGTACCCACAGTTCTAACTTGACTATAGAATGGAATAATTAACAATTTTGAGGCTCTTTTAATAAGTTAATTAGGTTGTACTATCCTTTATTCATGATATATACAAAAGACAACAACATATACAAATGGTAAACACCAAAAATACCCTTTAAGTAGTTCTTTAAGCTTAGGTTTTTAAGTCGATCTAAATAAAAGTACACTTTTAAAAGAATAAATATATTAAATGAAACCCCAAAAATACCCCTAACTCAAGGTAGACAAGCACCTTAAATGTCATTTCTATATAGGCAGTAAAGTAAAGTAAAGTGAAGTTAAGTGTGTATATGTATAGAAAAGAACAGTTACGAAATTTTCGTATTGCGCAGGGGTCCAATATTTGTTCATAAATTTATTTTGTGAGTCATATTAATTAAATAATATTTCACTTCTTTCTAGTATTTGAAAATTTGGGTTATTTGCCAAAAATATTTACCAAATAATGACAAATGTATGGATAAATATTATTTGTCAACTCTTTCCCCAAATTTTATTTGGAAAATCTATGGTCAAACGGGCCCTAAGAATGAATGATTTGAAAAATGATTTAGAACAAATAATTAGTGTTAACCGTAATAACATAAAACAATTATGAGTTGCTTAAAATGTTCATTTTGCATTATATAATTATTATTTTTACCGAGTATATTATATGGATTGATTTAAAAAGTTATTTTTTTAATTATTAGTAAAAATGGAATAATGTGACATAGGAGAGAAAGATGTTTTTCTTTGTCAAGTATATTTTGAGGAAAATATGTAGAGTTGAGTGATATTGTAGTCCTAAAAGTTATATTATTAGGCAATTTTCCAAACATGAATGAATATCTAGGGAAATTAAATACTCCATATGTCCCTAATTACTTGTCCACTTTTTTTTTTATAGTTGTCCCTAATTATTTGTTCATTTTGATAAATCAAGAAAGGAGAATTTTTTTTATCTATTATACTCTCAATTAAATGACTAATTACTTTGAAAAATTCAGAATTTTTCATCCACTTCATAATTAATAGGAATAAAATGATAAACTCACTATGTCATTAATTGATTTCTTAATATGTGTGCCAATTTAAAAATAGACAAATAATTAGGGACAGAAAGAGTATCTCGTGTTAAACCAAAAAAAAAAACTACTCCCTCCGTCCCTATTTACTTGTCCATATTTCCTTTTTTGGTTGTCCCTATTTAGTTGTCAATTTTGACAAATCAAGAAAGGACAACAAATTTTTTCCTATTATACCCTTATTTACAC